AATTACTTTTAAAATGATGTCAAATTTTGGGGGACATCTTGTAGTTTATTCTCCTATACTGGACTAAAGTGCCCAAGGTATGTAGTAAGCCTAGAATAGTCTATTACAAAACTAAAAAATAACATGGCTCTGTAGGAGCATTGTCTCACTTCAGTATTAATGGTCTGCGAGATAAGCTGCCGGGTCATTATTCTACGATAGTGTAAACGACGATGTACTCAAATAATTTTGGCAATTCTTGTTGAAATAACCTCAAATTTTCACAAAATGTATAGAAACGGATCAGGATTTTATATTTAATGTTTTATTTTGGTTCTGTTTTCAGGTTGTTCCACGCTGTTCACTCCCAAAGAGAAGTCATTTTGCGCCTTGAGATATGCTCTCACACAGTCATCCAAGACTGTAAAGCTTGCCATCAATGCAATATTTGGAAAAAGTTCACCAACTGGTAAACAAATTTGGCGTTGATACCAAAAAATTAAAAAAGAATGCTTCTTATTCAGGGCTAAAGAATCTGGTAGACCATCATCAACATCAGCGTCTTTGGCAAGAGCTTAAGTACCTACTTTACATGTGCCGTGTCACAGGCGGTGCACTTATTGAACACTTATAAAATCGGTCCCATAAGAAACTTATGATATTCAACACCTAAACTTTTCAATTTCATTCAGCTTAACTTAATAGTTTTCAAGATAATTGCTTTTAAAATGATGTCAAATTTTGGGGGACATCTAGTAGTTTATTCTCACATACTGGACTAGAGTACCCAAGCTATGTAGTAAGCCTAGAATAGTCTATTACAAGACTAAAAAAAAAAGTATGGCTCTGTTTGAGCATTGGCTCACTTCAATATTAATGGTCTGCGAGATAAGCTTCCGGGTCATTATTCTACGGTATTGTAAATGACGATGTACTCAAATAAACCTACATTCTCAGTGACAGCAGTACCATCTCTGAAAATAAACTGTGTGTGTTGAAAATTGCGTAAACATAGACATAGATTTACATGCAGACATTTTCTACTAATGTTCACTCAATACAAGGCCAAAGAGCCACTCAAGGTAGAGGATTACTATATGGTGGTGTATGAGCGTCAGAACATTTCAAAAGTGACGTCCATAGAACTATGTAGGAAAGATAACGGACAAAACTAGAAATTTATATGGACTAAGCGCCCCCCCCACACACATACATACAATAAATTAGTCAAAGATAACATAAGCACTAAAAAAAAAATAGAAAACGATATCAATATGGAAGCTAAAACAATTGCGCCCAAATTAGACCTACAAAATTTAAAGAGGAAGGCTGCTCATGTAGGGCTAAAGGATCTGGTAGACCATCATCAACATTAACATGTTTGACAAGAGCTTACCTACCGACTTGACGTGTGCCGTGTCATATGCGGTGCATATATTGAACACTTATGAAATCTGTCCCGTAATAAACTTATGATGTTCAACACCTAAGCTGTTAAATTTAATTGAGCTAAACTTAGTAGTTTTTTAAGATAATTGCTTTTAAAATGATGTCAAATTTTGGGGGACACCCTGTATATTATTTAGATTCATATAAAGAAAAAGACCGAAGAATTGAAGTTGTGTAACTTAGTATTCTGGATCTAATAAACTGAAAACAAGTCATTTTAAGTTGACTAATCATAAACAACTTGTGTCATTTCTGAACAGAGTAGAAAATGTTGTATTTAGTAAAGCTTTTTGGTTAATTTTACGTTTTTCTTTCTACTTTTTATTTGTTTAAGCCACACTGACGTCAATTGTGTTGTTTAAGATTTAGTTAAATTTGTGTCTTTTTTTACGTACCGTGTTCATTCAGTCATGGGTCTCCACTACCTCCCTTGTAGCACTAATCAATATTTGACCATGTACTATACTATCCCTGTTCTTGCTCTTCCACCCATTTACAAAATCTGGTTATGCATATGTTGTGGTGTCCTCCCTCTAAAGAGTCTATGTTGGACTCTTCCGCCTACTATAAGATTAGTAGGAGAGAAGGCCTTGGGGGAACAGTCGAATAGATTGTTCTACCGGGCTGTGACTGTTCGCAGCTGCTGTCGAACTCTCTGCCCAAAGGCAGAGACGAACCCGGACGAGGCTTTGCCGAAGAGTAAAGTTTCGTCCGGGGAGGTAGACAGGCCCGGACCCGTTTATACGGCTTCTAAGGGAATATTTTTACCGAGCCTACGGGTTCGGAGAACCCACGGTAAACTCTGCCTTGTGCCACATATATCCCTCGTGGAGAGTGGGGCTGTTAAATATTAACAGTCGAATAGATTGAACGCTTGGTCAACCGACACGCACTCACTAGTCGTGTAATACTCTTCTGTTGTACTTACTGTTTAATATATGATATATATATATATATGTAACACTTGTTTTGTTATTTCTTTAACCATTTCCTTGGTCACAACAGTATATTACTCACTTTTTCCTTCTGACTCTTTTTTTATCTTCCATGTTTCCTGTGGGTGTTAGAATCTCTAAACACCCTTTCCTTATTATGTGCCCCAGAAATTTCAACTATCTCTTTCTGATTCTCAGTATTATTGTCTTTTTTGTCCCATTTTCTTTTACACCTTTCTGTTGCTCACATGTTCTGTCAATTCTATTCTCAGCATCCTCCTGTAGAACCACATTACTGTTGCCTCTAGTCTCCTCTTCATCTCTGAGGAAATCGTTCAGTGGAGGGGGTGATATTTCATAACACATGAGCACAGTTAGTACACATGATTTTTATTCAGTTGCGTATAAACGAGCTTTTTAGAAAAGGTCATCATATTGTTTTATTGACTGAAATCAAACAAAAAAAAGATGGATCTATACTTGAAATTATTTCAAAATTATAAGGTAAATCTATTCTTTCATTCTTACTACGTTTTGTATTTTTATTGGTTGTCTGGTTATGTCATATCATACCGCATTCTTCCATGTATCCTTTCATCAAACAGGAGATCTTTGATAATGCCTATCGCCTCGCCAGATATCACTATTTCCATGCTAAAATGTTCGGACAAGCACCATTCTTTCGTTCCACCAATGCAGACATTTACAACATAAGTCTTCCATAGTGCGTCCGAACCAGCCTGTCACTCTCAATTTTAACTCAGACAGCTTTTTTCCAAGAACTGCTGCTTTGTGAAATACTACAACATTACATTCTTCAGGTCAAGAGTTAATCACTATCCTTCTCCCATAATCATCTCTTATGCTTGCATTCATATCACGGTAATAAAACAAAATACCAGCGGACAAAAAGCTAAGCTTCTTATCCAAAAAGTGGATAAAATCCCAGGTTCATTAATAAATAAAAAAAAGACTCATATACAAGATGAAACAAATTTTATATTGAAAATTCAAGGAATTTCTAATTCAAATATGAATGGAAAATTGAGAAATAATAATAATAATAATAATAATAATAAGAAGAATAAGAAGAAGAAGAAGAAGAAGAAGAAGAAGAAGAAATCTCAAAAATGTGGCATATGGGAACATCAACAATCCCTGTTGTAGTTGGAGTCCTAGGACTGGTTGGAAAAGATTGCGGTAAACTAATTGAAGGAATTCCTGGAAGTCCATGCCTCAAGGAGATACAAAAAATTGTTCTGACAAGTACAGCCCACACTTTATGAAGGGCTTTATCTATGTATTTTTTTTTTTTTTTTTGTCAGTGGAAAGTGTCATGATGCCATTTCTAATCTTAGATCCCTGCGCGGGAACCGGAAAGAAATGTGTAAACGCCAGAAATCAAAGAAAATGAAAATAATAATAATATACATTATATACACTCCAATATCAACTTGAGACAATAAACAATATCCAATATATACAATTATATGTACAATATTATATACACTCCAATATCAAATTGAGACAATAAATACAATATTCAATATATACATTTATATGTACAATATCCAGAATATGCACTTCAGTATCAAACTGAGACAATAAAACCAATATCCATTATAAAATCTTATTTCATATTCACAAATTTATGCTTAGTTTATGTATACATATATATTTTCATATTATTATGATTGTCTCGATTCGATATTACAATTTGAATTAAAAGTTAAGAGTTATCGAAAACTTCTTTTGAATGTAGGGACGGAGTAAGCTATAAATATATGGAGTTTTGGAGTTTACCTTTTGTTGCAGAAAAAAAAACGAATAATTAACGAACTTAATTTCAACCCCAAATATTTCAACATGTCTTTTCTTGATTTGCCACTTAACTATCTCAACACGGACAAGAAGAAATAAAGCAACGAAGTGACAAATCATCGCAAAAAAAAAAAATCAACCACAAATTTTGCCCTTACTAAATTAATAAGGAAGGTATTACTAGCAGCCAACGTCTAAACGGGAGGGCTTTTGTGGTGAAACGTCTGACTTCAATGATCGAGTGTCAGACCCAGGGGAGAAGGACATCAAAACGAAACTGTGGGTGTAGTGTAACAATTGGGACGGCATTCGGTGCTTTAGGGACGATGACACGATTTGTTTTATTTGTCGTCAAAAGAGGGGACACAAGGGGGTCGAATGAAAACAGTAAGGCAGAGACAGAGAATGCTTTAAAGAGATGGAGAGAAGGACTTTGTGTTAAGAACAGGAGGAGAGTAATAGAAAAGCGCTAGGAAAGGAGAAAAATGAAAGTGTAAAAGGAGAGAGATGTTGGTTTGAAAAGAAAAAAGACGGTCACTTAAAAAAGGGAAAAGGTTGGACAAGAAAGGACGTAGACAAGAACTATTAAGTAAGTGTGTTTGTCGTAGAATATATCTTCGCCTTGGTGACTACATAGGGCCAACGTTTGGGGAATTTTTAAAGTAAATATGGCATCGTATCACGGGCTGAGATCGGTGTTAACTCTAAAGTCTCCCCAAACTCCTGCGGAGGAAGGGAAACATAGAGAAATTACAAAGACGGAAACCAATGAAGGTGCCATAAAGAAATAAAATAACTGCAAGAATTGACATTCGATTAAGAAGAAAGGGCGGAGGTGTTACTTTCTCTTTTCAGAACGGGAAGAAATGGTAATAGATAGATAGATAGATAGATAGATAGATAGATAGATAGATAGATAGATAGATAGATATGAACAAACAGAGATTGACAGACCGAGATAGATAGATAGATAGATAGATAGATAGATAGATAGATAGATATGAACAAACAGAGATTGACA